TCAAGTCTCCCAACTAGTCTCCTTCCACCGGCCGTGTTCTCCGAGAGAAAGAAGGAATCACAGAGATTGTGCTTCAGAGTGTGCCTGGCCATCGCAGAGTCTACGAGCATTTTGCCGTCTTGAATTTGAGGCTGAAGAGCTCAGAGCGGCCTCGGCCAGCAAGCACCGAGGTCACGGCAGGCGTTGAACCATCCCTTGGTTTACCACTCTTTCCCCAAGACCTATCTTCAGTTTTGGCCGGAACCCTTTCGGACGGTCAATTTGGGTAGGATTTGAGACGGCACCAGCCTATGCTGTCTTGATTCGGGGTATCAACTCAAGACATGAGCAGCGCGGTCGGGATGACGAACATTACCTTCATGTCTTAATCACACGCCGCACTAGCTAGATCATTCCACCATCCCTATCCATGCTATTCAATCTTTATTCTGTAGATGGCGCTGTCAAGGACCCCATTCGAACTCGACGTTGAATTCGGGGTGTGAAAGAATGTGCTCAGGGCCGAGTTTTGTCTTGAGTAGCTTTCTAAAGCCTCAAAACAGGTACCGTTTTTGGTTCGGAGGTTTCACGTGTAGATCGATCTGATATTCGACCAGACCGCACTCTGACGCTGAGCGGCCACAGGGTGCTTTCAGTTTGCGGAATATCTGTTTGCGTAAAATGTAAATGCTGTAGGACACTATCTGTGAGGGAAGACACCTGTCATTGTGCTTTGACTCCTGGAATAGCAAACTCTCCAGAGACGTCTTCGCCTAGGACATTGCCCGCCCTAGAAAGAAATCCAGGTCCAATGCAAAGTCCAGAGAGTCTTGAGCGCAGTCGACTTAAGGCTTGTCTATCATTGGCAAAATTTGCATAACAAAATGAGAGTTCGTGATGACTGGTAGACAGCCACAGCCCTGACTTGACCTCCGAAGACGGAGAATGCAAATCTTCCACCTTTGATCTTCGACTTACCTCATTTTCCAATCAAGATCTCCATACAGAATTTGTAAATACTCTGGTTAGCAGGCTCAACTCTGCAAGTATATTGCAACAGACGGACTTTTTTCCTAGTGTCTGTCAGAACAATCTCCCTAGAAATTACTATGCCGATACCAACGGCCGTCTGCGACATCTTTGAGCCACATCAAAGGCCATTTTCCGAGCTATTCGGCCGTAGTTATTTTGCCGGTGACTGTAAAGACGTCATTTGCCTTCATTTTTTGAGGCATTTCGTTCCTCTCAGTGCATGATTTTCCAGCAAATTCTGTTTTGAAGACTCGTACAGATGCTGCTCGCTGTCGGGCATTGCTTGTTTGGTGAATCACGAAAATGTTTAGGATAATGATTTAGGCGGTACATTTCGCTGTTTCTCATTGTCTCGACACCAACGTATTTGGAATTCGATCTGGTTTGAAGTGAGTCAGTCTGACAGAACTCGTCACTTCGGTCTGTGGCTCCTTGTGAGCATAGAAATATATCAATAAAAGCTACATGACATGCGATTGGCTCGCTCCGCACCCTAATCAATAAGCTTAACGGCGTAATCAGCAGCACCAGTACAAATATGGCTAACCATTTTTTAGCGCCTACTTAACTTCGTCTACATTCATCACCACGGATTTCTGTGGATGAACCTGCGACATGCACAATGTCACGAAATCTAGAGACTGATACGTCTGCTCATAGCCGCGACAATGGAATTTAGGTGGCCTTCCTCCAAGCCATAATTAACGAGGCCCGTGCATAGCAGCAACTCGAAGGTGCGAGCCTGAGTCGGTGACTGCTCTTACTCAGATACGGGATGAAAATGGAGGTTGGTGGGTTGGTCGGTCCAGGATCACTCAAGCTGAGAAAGTCTCTGACTTTGGTAACCGGAAGCAATAACAGAGCCGCCCAGCGTGGCATGACCCAAGACCAGGGGCCCTTGAGGGGCCCTTGAGGGCAGACAAGTTACTTGCCAGACGATCCGCTGCCACAAGTACTTGCACCAAAAAGATAAAAATTACAAATCTAGATTCCCGGTTAATCGGAACCCACGCACGCCAGAAGCCAGAGACGCAGTCACACGCACTGCCCATATGGAGACAAGATGGTGGTTCTGCGACCTCCGCGACTCTCCAGTCTCCAGCTGAAGCTCTTGGTTGATTCATTAACCGAACGATCGCCTTTGTGGAGGAGAGATCTTCTTGCAGCCAGTGTTACTGAACTCCAGGATAGGATATTCGAAGGAGACGCCGGGCTGAACCGCTGGTGGAGGTCAATTCTGGGCTAGATGCTTCTCGCCCCGAGCGACCTCGGCCTTCGTCAGCAGAGTGGCAATTTTTGACGCCTCGTTGTGTCAATCGCTCGATCAAGATCCATTACGACATGCCTTACAGAGATCCTGAAACGTTCGAGCAGTTGAGTTGGTTGTCGCCTCCACTCGAGGACATGTTGTCGCTTGAGATCAAGTCAGGCCGTATGATCCGATATATCTGACAAGACATTTCGCGACATCGGCCATGTGGTTTCTGAATACTAGTGCCCCTAGAGCACTAGTGCGCCACCCATATTAGATGCGCTCGAGAGCCGCCTGCCGGCTGATCAAATTGCCCAGCCAGCACGAGGTGGGTGGCAAGAGTTCGACAGGCCAGATCGCAAGTTTTGGCTGAAATCATCCAGGCTAGCCACAGGTACGTTATCTTTGCGACAAAATGACGAATGGGCTTTAGCCTGTGGCATCGTTGCCGTTTCCCGTGAGCTGGGGCTCCCCGTGCTTCAGAATCCTGGAGCATTCAGCATATTCATTTTACACTAGGAGCAATTCCCAGCTGAGAAGTGTGTATCCGCGCATCCTTGGATCTAGGGACCTGCCTTGGTGGGCGACGAGCGTGCTTTTGGCTAAATATTCACCCAGCGGATCAAGTGACTTCGAAGGGCGGTACTCTCATGGGGATGCGACTGCGTAAGTCTTGCAATCTGGTACCGTTGGAAGAGAACAGCATCGGACTCTCTGGAATGTACTGGTGTGGGAACATTGGTGTCTACTCTTGAAGCTGCTTGGTGCTGTTGCCGGCGGAAGGACGATCATTGGCCGTCACCCTTCTAATGTGGGTTGCTGCTTCCTCACAGGCTCGACCCTCGAATAGAGGCAGTTGCATGTCACGGGTTCCCAGCAAACCAAGGATTATCTGCGTTCTTTATCAATAACCAAAAGACAAGATTGGACGTGCTACGAAAATTTGTCGGTGTCCAATGAAGGGGAGAATAGCCGTTCTCATCTCCGGTGCTGATGCCGTGGTCCAGACTGTGATAACTATTAGCCCGAACATCCCCGACCCAGCGTCTGGATATGAATATAAAGGTCGGGATAAATCGTTTTCTCTACTCCAAAGTCCTTTCCCCCACGGCTCTGTGACTTTACGAGTCGGCCACAGCGACAGGGACTGTCATCGCTACAGTCTCTGCCTCGGGTCATGCTAACTGCCTGAGACTACGGATCCTACTGGGTCTGTCTGAGCTGGGTATATGCATGTTGCCACAAGCTACCCTGGAGCAATAACGGTGTGAGATATATGTAGGCTCTTATTGGACCTGAAGGAATCCGTCTGGGAGCTCCGATCACGGTGCTGAACTACCGAGTACCGGCCCACGGTCTAGAAGAGGAGCCCTCTTCTCGAGGTGGTCATGCGAGCTTTCTGAAGGGGCGGACCACCGATCCAGGATTGTGTGTCTCTCTCAAGATGCGGAACACGGCAGAGGGTTGCAAATGTTGACGTCCAATTTAGATCAGGGATCTCATAACCGAAGTGAGAGGCGACCGGCACCGGCTGGACATGTTGGCGGTTCGGAACAGGGTGTCGACAAGTCTGCCCTCGAGGAACCCTCCAGATGCAGCTTATTTGTTTTCCCGGTCTGAAGCCCTTACACGGTTTATGGTATCGATGCTGTATTCACGACTGCTGGCTCTGAAGAAAAGCCATCGTGCGAGTGTGTGTGACTTCTCCAGAAAATTGTTCCTCTTCGCAAACAATCCCCAGACCCCGGATCTGGTTGTGAAAACGAGGTCTCCCGGGGAACTTGCCACGCGGGGCACAGTGTTCCGGGGGGAGATCTATTATATCTGAAAGTAGCCTCGTGTCAAGCTTGGTAGGCAAATTGCAAGACAGAGCAGTGCCTTGGCTCATGCAATAGTTCAAAGTCGTAAAAGAAGAGGCAGAATTTGGAATAGCGGTTCGGGGGATGGTTTAAGCGTACGTGGTAAGAGTGTTCGTGACAAAACAGAATACGAGGACCGTTGCGACTGGCTTGGACTGGGGTTATTCAGCTTTGGGGGGGGGGGGGGGGGGTTGGAATGGGTAAAGGGCGTTGATGAGAGGCACAAGTGTCTCCTCCAATTACAGTCTCCACCCCCGCATTGCAGATGTGCCATTGGGGTATTATACACCCTGTGATTGGTTGATTCTATACCCTCCAACGACACCTACTCCGTACTAGTGGATCTCTAGCGTGGAACTAGCGGGTCCACTAGGCTGTTAAGCTCCACCGCCAATCCTGCTTAGCAACGATGCTCACCCACGTTTTCCCCTTAGGCCCCTAACAAACTCACTCTCCGATCTTCTGTCCTTTTCTTACACTCTCCCACAATTCACTCTCACACTTACCATCCCGGTGGTGCCTTCCACGGCGGCTCCCCGCTAGCCCTTCGCATCTTGTTCGTTTCTAGACCAAGCTCATACCCTGATTAGCGACTGGCCAATGCAGCATACATTTAAACGAACAACGAAAGAACATCACAAACACCAGCCAACACGACATGGGTTTGCCGGTTTATCCTGCATGACAAGGGGCTGTCTTCTGTCACATCCCTGACATGCATATTGATTATATTCACGGCCTTTTTTCCCAGCTTATCAAAAGCCTCTTTCAATCCCGTTCAATATCATTCTCGACAATCTGCTCCTTCCTGCGTCTGCTTCCGCCTTCCTCCATACTGATTTGCCGCTCCAATCTTTGTTCTCAGGACTGCTATCACAATGCAGATCTATGAGAGGGTGAAGAATGACTTCAAGACTGATGTTACCTGGAACCGGGTTATCCGTTATGGTATTCAGGGCTTGCGTGCCACGCCAGAAGCAGCAGGAAGATATGTCGTGGAGAAGGCCCCCATTATTGGATGGCTGCCTCGATACAATTATCGGTGGCTGCTGACCGATTTTGTGGCTGGCCTGACCCTGTCGCTCATGTTGATTCCCCAAGGTCTTGCCTACGCCAAAATCGCCAAAATCCCTGTGCAATACGGTCTCATGTCGTGTTGGGCGCCTGCGGTTATCTACGCCATTATGGGCACATCAAAAGGTGCAGTGATCTGAATTACCTTTGAAAGGGAAAAATGGCCTACTTACACTCTAGCAGATGTCTCCACTGGACCGACTTCGTTGATCGGTTTGATGACCGCACAAGTCGTGGACGATCTTAAAGAGGAAGGATATGCCCCAGAGGCAATATCATCTGCGGTTGCACTCTCCATGGGCGTCTACATGGCCGGCCTTGGTGTCTTGAAGTTGGGTTTTCTCCTCGACTTCATTTCGTACCCAGTGCTCACAGGCTTCATCTCCGCTGTTGCAATTACCATTGGTCTCGGTCAAGTCGCCAATCTCATTGGCGAGGGCAATGTTGGCAGTGGTACCGCTAACCAGATCCATGATATTTTGACCAATTTCGGTACCTGCAACGGTCGTGCTGCAGGTGTCGGATTTGCTGGCATTGTTCTTCTGGTCGCCTTACAAAAGGCTGGTGAGAGATGGGGAAGCAAGAACAAGATCATCTGGTTCTTGTCCATCACTCGGGCTTTCATCGCTCTTCTTTTGTTCACCGGCATCAGCTACGCCGTCAACAAAGGTCGGGATAGTGACGAATACCTATTCGATGTCAGCAAGGTCCCGTCTCTCAGCATACATACTCCCAAGGCCGTGGACTCGGCTCTCTTTGGAAAAGTTGTTAGTCGCAGCATCGCGGCTTTTCTGGGTGCCTCCATTGAGCATCTTGGAATTTCTCGGGCCTTCGGGCTGAGAAACAACTATGTCATAGATCCCAGTCAAGAGCTTTGCTACCTGGGGGTGACGAACATCTTCAACAGCTTCTTCACAGTCATGGGTGTTGGTGGCGCCATGTCCCGAACGGCCGTCAACTCCCAATGCAATGTCAAATCCCCTCTTTCTGGCCTGGTCACCACCGGTGTCATTGTTCTCTCCATCTACAAGATGACTGGAGCTTTGTATTGGATCCCGAAAGCCACACTTGCTGCCATCGTCATCACGGCTATCTGGCCACTCATCGGCAAACCAAGCACTTACTACCATTTCTGGAAAACCTCATTTGCGGACTTTGTCGCTGCAATGGTTGCATTTTGGGTTTCACTGTTCACCTCCACCGAAATTGGAATCGCCAGCGCCGTGGGATTCAATGTCGTATATGTCTTGCTCCGCCAAGTCTTCAAGCAAGTTCAGACGGTTGGAGCAGACTCACGTTCGGAACTTGCGGCGTCATTGGATGCTGCACGCGGAATGCCACCCCACATTCCTCCGGACACCCGCGTCTTCCGCTTCGAAGAATCCTTCTTTTTCCCCAACATCCAGAGGGTCAAGACCAATATTTTGGACGTCATCCAAACATACCATGCTCCCGAATATAACCACCGCAACGGCGAGGAGGCTGAGCGGAACTGGTCCGTTGAGGCAGAGAAACGTATCGCCCGGTTGCGCAGGAAGGCCAAGACCCAGGGAGCCAGCTTACCGCCGATCAATGTCGTAGTACTTGACTTTTCAAAGGTCAATTACTTCGACACCAGCGGTGTCGTGGGCCTGAAGAACTTCTTTGCAGAGCTGAGACACTACGCCGGTGATGGCACCGAAGTGCGGTTCGTTGCCCTCAGTGACATGACCAGACAGCGCTTTGAGCGAGCAGGATGGACCTTGTTGGATGGGGACGACTCAATGGACACCTCGAAAGTGACCTGTGTCAGGGTGTTCCGCACCGTCAAGGACGCTGTGGTCGCTTCCAGAAAAGACCATGAAATCTGCGAGGTCGTCGTAAAGACGGAGAGCAGCAGCGAGGAGAACACAACTATCACTCATCGTGAGAAGATGTAATACCCCAGCATGCTGTTTGAAAGAGCAGGTCTTGCCTCAACCTTGTTGTTTTTGGATGTTGTCTTTGCGAGCGATGGGCCAGGGCACCGACTTGGTTCGAGCGTACGAGTGTATGAATGATGATGATTATATGGCGACCAACGCGATGCGCAAAGGCATAACATGGATACAGGCAGGAGCAGTGGAAGCCGGTAGCGCTGACCTCGACTTCCTTCTGTGGAAGACAAAAGAGGGCTGAGCACATAGAGTGCTGCGATGCTACCTGGCAAAAGGCGTTGTTTTTGTTATAGCCTGGACCAGCAGAAGAGAAGAAGCTTCTGTTATATGAGGCCCTTGTGGACGCAAGATATCTATCAGCAGATGCCATGTTATTGAGACTTTCGGTCCACTATTCTCAGAGTTCAACGCCCCCTGTGGTAACATTTAGCCGTCGCCGCAATTTCACCGCCAGCAGCTGAGCCCACCAGCCTGATCCGGTTTTCTCCACACACCGCAAGGTGGATGGCCGTTTCGCCACGGACATGCGAGCGATAAGGCCATGTTTTCCAGCCCATTCGCGCTCAGCTCCATCGGCCAATCTCGGAATCCGTAACTGCTCGTGCCAAGAGTGTTTGAATGCTGAGAGTTGGGAAGCGACGGAAAAACGTATTCACGGCAAGCCAAAAAGCAGAGGAATACCGCGTAGGGAGTTTAATACGGGGGTAACCAAGTACCATGTATAACAGGTAGGTTTCCGATTGTAGCGCCTTCTCCCCCTTTTTCTCGGAACAATATGATTATCCGCCTCATCACGTGCAGCAGCATACTCCTGCGCAGCTGCGCTTCTCAGCCTGTGATGCGGTTGATCGTTGCTGACCGAATGATCATCAAACCCGATTCTCTTACTTGAAAACAATATATACATGAGGTTCGGTCTTTCCCGCTCAAAGTCCTCGTTGCCATTCGGTCATGACCACAGATGTAATTTCCTCGCCTTTAACTCGCGACCGCCACTGCTCGCTAGAAATCACTCATTCACTCCAGCCGGATTGATCCCTCTGCTCTCCAAAAGAGCCACACCACGGCCATCACAACTTTGGTGCCTCCTGCAATCCATAGTGGGTTAGAAATGTCTCCGCCCTCAGTCAAGACACCTCCGAGCCCAGCTCCCAGGAGGAGCGCCACGGCGGACACAAATCTGCGGTTGCGCTTCGGGTTCTGAGTGAGGGGTGCCGTAAACAGGGTTGGGTCGAACATCAAATCGCAGTATGTGCTTGTCAGGACGACTGTCGGCAGTTCGTTGTACAACAGCATCCTACTCATCACGATTTGGCCAGCCGATTGGAATGAGAGGAGCCCCAGAGGAAGCAGGACGATGTAGTTGTAGGGTAGCTGATCGCCGGCATCGTTGGGGACAACATCGCTGACCACAAGGGCCCCACTGATAAAGCAGAGCAGAGCTTGAAAGAAGCACGAGCCGCTTAGAGTGCCTCGGCGAAGCGGACCCAAGACACGACAGACTCGGCTGAAGAAAAAGGTTCCCAAGCAGAAACTGAGGATTGCGGTGCCAGATTTGACCCAGCGATATGGCTGACTTAAAGGTTGACCAGACATTCCCAGACCAGCATAAACGGTGTTTCCTGCAGCCCAGCATATCAGCAAGCACATTTCTGACCGCTACGCATACCTGGACAACTGACCGGTTTGCATGCTCACGAAGCAGCTCCAGACGTTGAAGACCGCACTATCGACAAGGCCGGATATGAAGCACGCGACAATCAAGATCAAATCTCCCCACTCCTTGTTCACATCCTCCGCCAAATATTGTCGCCATCGAGCCATACGGCTTCTTCTCTTGAAAAGCTCAAGCGAGTCATCCATGCTGCTTTCGTCGGCCATGGTTTGTTTAATGCCTAAAGACCACAACAATCCGGCAGATGCTATCAAAAGATCGAACCTTCAAACCGTGAGATTTGAAAACGTCAACGCCCAAGAGAATCCGATGCTTATATGACGGGGTACCCATCCCAACGAGCACGGAATGGCTCCGTTGACCGGACGTGGAGGTGACCCCCACAAGTGAAAGGGCATAGTGGCAATGGATCTCACGGCTAAAGTATGAAGAGGGTTCCTGGTCCCTGGGGCTGGGCACTGCAATCAAGAATTGAAAGCGCGAAAATCCCATCCAGCTTCTCCGCATAGGTATCAAAATCTGCCGGTAAAATCTCCACAAGATCTCCATGCAGGCGAGATCTCCATTAGCTTGCAGGGGTCGATTTCCCTGGCGCATAAACCATTAGCCGACATTTTATGTTTCCGTATTTCACAGCCCCCCTGTCAATACCTTGAAGGCATTCTATATCCACCGGAGAAATCACTCGACTGGCTCTCCGGCGCTCTCCTCCCGGTTGAGGCTGCTGGTCAACACGGAAGACGAAACGATAGAGTCTCCATGAAGATGATGTACCAGTCCCCCAATGGTATTTGAGGATTTCTCACAAGGATCTGCCTCAACAATGGCTGACAGCCAACCCTAGCTATGGACAAGAGGTGCAATTACTATGCCCATATCTAAGGGACACTGCTCAGTAATTCGATCTAAAAAGTGAAGCTGAATGCCTATGCAAGCCAAGGTCGTCATCTGCGTCCTAAAACCTGTCGAATATACACCTTCAGCATGTGCTGCCTGAGATATGCTCCACATCATTGCTAGAAGTCGCACAAAAGCCCCCAAGCGGATGTAGTAGGACCGACAAGAAAAGGCCGAGTGATGGGTGCTGCTGCCAGACATTCGATCCACGCAAGCCGTCAAGGAATCATCCTCCTCTTTGGGTGGTGCATCTTTCGGCAATCAACTAGCTGCAGGTTTGCAGCTTCATTGGATCCAGCAGAATGATTGCAGGCGCACCTTTGAGGGTCAAAGCCCGCGCGGTAATTTTGGTTTCGTATCTGTCTCGATCAACTACATACAGGTACATGCACCGCGCTGGCTAGAGACTCCGCGTCTCCCTCGGTACTTGTATTCACGCAGAGTCCAGTGGGCCACCGGGTAAAACGATATACCGTCACGGCCTCGCTTGAAAACGAGATTCCATCGTGGGAGCAACTCCCTGCTTGATCTCAGTACGGCTCTTTTCGGCTCCATGTGCAACCCGAAGCTTCGGGTGGCCAAAGTTCAGTGAAGGTTTTGGATTTGGATATGATACTGGTATATCACTTTCAGAAGTGTCGGCGGGAAATCACCTAGGCTTGTTACCTGGTGTCTTTGAGAAGGCGATTCCTAGGGCTGCCATGTCTTGAGGAGTGAACTGCACGGGATGTCGCCTGCAACCAGGAACCTAGGATTCACACACTCATATTGTTCTCAAAGTGTGAAGTACTTCGTCTTGCGTCTGTGTCTCTCAATCTCTGGGCCAATGCTGAGCCCATTGATTCCGTTTAGCTAATTGTGCAGCTTTGTTTTTGGTTTCCCTCGTCGTGGAAATCCACGTTCCGCAGACTTACATCCAGCCAAGCTCCTGCCAACACTTTCACGAGGTCTTTCGTGGGAGTTCGACCACGGAGTTTTTCGCTGGCATTTTTCCTTTCCACACAACTGTCCGGATTTACGATGATCCGAGATACGAATAAAACGCCACAGGCGAACGCATAGAAGGCTCGGGCATGCAAGGCTGGCAGGAAGGTTGCCAGAGAATATCTCAGGCTCTTTTGATCTCGCGCTTGACGTTGATCTGGATGCAATTAGAACCCGCAGCCCTCCGAATCTCGAATCGAGCTCGACTCAAGCGAGACCGCCGTGCCGGGCTACCAAGCGCAGCGGCACGGTGACCGGCTTCTTTTTATGCTACGAGGCACACATACCTCGGCCAGACTCGGCTTACTGTGGCCTGTCATCAGCGTTGCTTCGGCAGTCCAACGCTACGTCCAATCAAACGCAGGCGTTTCTCCACCTCTTGGGATGGCTCGAGTGGCTTCGAGTCGTGAGACTTACATCAAGTTTTCATTAAAGATGACTTCGTGTTGTCAGTAAAATGAGTGAGGTGTTCATCTCGTTACCAGCAACAGATCCAAGTCTCACCAGCCATGTCGCCTCAGATTCCTATCGTCGTCGGCGTTGGCGACTTCGTCAACCGTTCAACCTCCATCGCTGATGCACAAGAGCCATTGACACTTATTCTCAACTCCATTGCCATCGCGCTGGAAGACACCGGTCTGGCCAAAGACAAGAGGCAGCAACTCCAATCTGCCATCGACAGCATCGATGTCGTCCGCACATGGACTTGGCCATATGACGACCTACCCGGTGATATTGGCCGCAGGCTAGGGGTCGATGCACGGCATAGATTCTACAGTGATCACGGGGGCAATAAGCCTGGCAAATTATTCGATCAGGCAGCGAGGAGAATTTCGACCGGGCAGACGAAGGTCGCAGTCGTTACTGGTGGAGAGGCTTTGGCATCGTGTGAGAGACACACCCTACTGGATCCTCTCTCCAGCAAGAGCGTGTCTGGACGCTAATGCTTCGCTCCTTTGGAACAGTGACCGCGTGTGCTGCTACCAAAAAGTTGCCGCCGCCAGGATGGACCAAGACAAGGGAAAGAGTTGATACCCCTTTTACTCCAACACGCAGAGATCTGGGGAAAGGTAATTCAGATTCCATACGTGTACTCACCCTTTTTTGTTTTTTTTGTTTTTTTTTGTTTTGTCAGATATGCTCACAAATTACCAAGATATTGGTGCGATTCACTCAATAGGAGCCCCCATTCACATTTATCCACTCTTCGAAAACGCTTTCCGTGCGCACCGGGGCCAATCAATAGCGGAAAACCATGACGAGTCTGCACAACTGTACGCCGAATTCGCCCAGGTGGCAGAGAAACAGCCCTACGCTTGGAATTACGGCAAGCCGGCAGCCACGAAGGAGGTCATCGGGGCGGTCACCAAGCGCAACCGCATGATTTGCTTCCCTTGTAAGTGATCGCCGCCACGCACGACGAAGAATGAGAAGGATAGGAGAGCGACGAGCCTGGTTTGCTGACATGGGGACGATGTTAGATCCACTCCTTATGAATGCCTTCAACACCATCAATCTGGCTGGTGCATGTATTCTGACATCGACGGCGTATGCCGAAGAACTGGGCATTCCAAAGGAAAAGTGGATCTACGCCCTCGGCGGCGCTGGGACGCAGGATAGCAATCATTGTGCGTACCTGAACCGCCCTTGCACAAAATCCACTGATTTTCCAGGGCGGAGTTACTGATCTTTGATTGTCCAGTTTGGGAACGACCAAACTATTTTACGAGTCCGTCAATCGAACGCTCCATCGATGCAGCTCTACGTGTATCGGGTCTCACCAAGGAAGACATCGACCTTTTCGACTTCTATTCGTAAGTAAGCCCACGGCGAATAATAGCTGGTGGCCGCCGCCGCCGCTCTCTCACCCTTTCTCCCTCTCCCTCTCTCTGCTTATCTCTCTGACACGTGTTATTTCGCCCCAGATGTTTCCCGATCGTCCCGAAAATAGCCGCTTCACATCTGAACCTGCCGATAACGCATGGGACGAAACCGATAACTCTCCTCGGAGGGCTGACCAGCTTCGGAGGTGCAGGGAACAACTACTCCATGCATGTAAGTCTCTGGCGTATTCTTCCTGAAGAGCTTACTATGGGATCTGCTACTGACATTTTCTCTCCCTTTCTTTTCTCTTCCTCTCAGGCAATAACAGAAATGACACGGCAACTGCGCAAAGGGAAAGGTCGCCACGGCCTGATCCTTGCGAACGGCGGCGTCATGACCTACCAGCATGTACTATGCCTATCTACGACGCGTCGGCGAGGCGGGCTTCCATACCCTGATAGAGACCCGTTGCCGGAGTTTGTGACCGACCTTCCCGTTCCCAAGGTCGATGCAAAGGTCGAAGGAGAACATGAAGCTATTATCGAGGTACGTGCAACTTTGTACATTAATATTTCTTGCCCTCCCGTGCACGCTCTACGGGTATAATATGACTAGAGAAAGGGAAAGAACAAGCTCCGTAGCGAGCCAGAAATGAGCTGATAGCTGATATGGCATTTTCGCACAACACAGACATACACGGTTGAATTCAATCGCGACAACACGCCCCTTCGAGCATACATCGTCGGCCGGCTGAAGAGCACCGATCACCGGTTCATCGCCAACCACGCCGACGAGGAGACGTTAGAGCAGCTTTCGTCCGGACCGGACGAGAAGATCGGGAGGACAGGCCGGGTCCGTAATGACGGGGAGAGGAACCTGTTCACGCTGAAGAAAGGAGCGTTGGGAAAGTTGTAGTCGTAGACGTTGTTGTAGTCTTGTGTATTGCTAGTGACTAGCCATCTAGTCATATATCGTGTACATACATGGCTGGCTTGCAGCCTGTACAGGAAAGGAAGGAAGAAAGACCTTCTTTGAAACTGGCGGAAAGTTTGCCCTCTTTTTTGTCCCTTTCACGAGTCTATCGATCCATCATGATGATGATGATCAACATCATCACCGTAATTTCAGACATCGCTCGATCGCCAGAGACAGACTCAGTCGGTGAAATGCTGGAAAAGGGCAAGGACATCGAATCATCAGGGCAGAGCGCCTGACACTGGCGTGCTGAACGTAGGAGGCGGTTGTTGTGGACTTGGTATTACCTCCCACATTCGAACCTCCCCCACACCTCCGCCATATTGCTTGTTGTACTCGTATTCTTGGATGTTGATAGCGGCTTCTCCCGCTCTGTGCCGGCGGTAGTTGGTCCAGGCGACCGGGGCTGGTCCACCGAGGCGCGGTGGCAAATGTGAACAATCCAGTTTCCTTTTGAACGTCTTCCGTCTGCACTTCTGCGCATCCATGACCGGAAAGCTTTCATCTTATATCGAACCACGTCTTCTCCGGCTGCTGAGTCCCAACGCTTCTCAGTTCCCTTTGTGCCTCCTCCACGCGCTCCTTTGCAAAGCGCCATTGTCCGAGAATCGTCTCCAAGATGAGATCCGGCGGGAGCGGCCCTTGCAGACTCTCTCCTGTGGCTAAGGGACTTAATGACTTCGCCTTTCATCAGTCTTTCCACGTAGCATTCGCCAACCAAGCGGTAGGTTGCCGTGGTGGTTTCCTGGTCTTCGCAGCTCGAGTCTGAGTCTGGTTCGATGATAAACCGATCGGAGGTCCTCTTTGGAGAGTCGGCACATTCGACTGCCTTAACTGGTCGGAGAAGAAAAGGCATGTCCCCTCCAAGAATGCATACGACATCACCTTCACACACATTTTCGGGGCCGAGACCCATGTAGCCGTTCAGTGGTAAAAACAATCTCCTGTCCCGGGGCACTCGCAGTGCCATCTCGGCGAATCCCGGTGCTTCTCTCGTAACGCCCGTATCACTGAGATTCATGGGATTCCAGTCCTTGAAGCGATCCAGGCGATGGAGATAGGCGGTGAAGTCGGCGCCGCAACTGCGGTTGCTATGTGCCTGGGACCCATAGAGATTCATGCCCGCTGTCAATGTCGAAGCGAATAGGCAATGACCACTATCGGTTTCGAAAACCTGATGCAGACCAGCGGAGGTGAGCAGGCTCAAATCAGGGCTGTCCAACATTAGTTCCGAGCCGTAGCCGATTACTCCAGCTTTGGTGCCTTGTACTAGTAAGCTGCCAGCTGTCGGCGAAGCGCCATGGTGTCGAGGGAAGCCGTTCGCGGCGTTCAAAGGACTCATCATGGGCCCATGCGGAGATTGTAGTTCTGAAAACATGGTTCCACTGAGGGATCCAAGAAGGCAACCGGGGATAGGTCTCCAGCTCACCAGTGCGAGACTGGACACAGGAAAGCAGTGTCAAGTTGTTGGTAGCTGCCAAAATGTTGACCGCCACTTTTCTCCATAATTCAGGTGTGGTGACTTGATAATCGGGCTTCATGAAGAGCTTGCCCTTTTCGGGGTCATTATCGAGGGTACCGATACCCACGAGTCCATAGACCCTGTCACGTACGTCGGTAACTTTAAACTGTCGTGTAAGTCGTAGTAGTCGCAAGAAGTCCAGTTTGATGGGTGGGAGATCACTCTGACGTGACAAGCGGAACATCAAGCAAGCGTTATGTATCCCGCCAATTCTGAGGCTTGACATCTGTCGTGATGGTTCGTTCGTAGAATGGCAGCAGCTAGTCCAATCCATCGCCAGTCTACCTCCACAGAGCCCAACTTTGCCACCGCAGTCTTCGGGAGAACGATCTCCTGGAAAGCCCAGAGCCGCCAAAACCACTCTCTATTGAAGAATCTCGAGATCACCTTCCAGAATGCCTTTGTTTGCTGACCCGGGTGAGCGATTGGGTCTAGCTCGGTGTCTATCGCTCAACAAAGCAGCACTGTTAGCGACATGAGACTAGAATTAGGATAGACCAGGAAGGGTTTGCCAATTACCTCGTCTAACCGAGTCCTGAATTCCAGGGACGGTAGACTCTCGTTTCATCCATGTTTGCTCTGATGCTTCAACACTCCAGGCCTCATACTCCGTTCCACTGGCTTTGAATATTTGCGACTTGCCTGTATCTGACACAACACTGAAGCTGGCTCGCTGGCAGGTCGGCACGTTGCCTAACCAGTGGTTGACGACATCGCACACTGCTGCAAACTCCTCCTTCTCTTCGGCATCGTACTCATCCGCCGAAGCTAGAAGTTTTCACCGAACCATACTACCACCCTAGTTGAGCTTTGGTATATTGCGCCCACGAGACTTATCTGGTGAGCTCGTTCAAGCATGTCATTCTGATTTATGTAGATGGCGTCAACCCAGATAATCCTTGTTGCGTGTGAGAGGCGAAGAGCACGCTAGGCTTGATCAAGGTTGACTGTAATTTTCATCGGGCGATCTCTGAGGAGGACGAAGCCAACATTCGATTGACGTCCAATCGACACCCGAGGAGTTTTGTACAAACCCCATACATAGGAGAGAGCTTCGTAATTGACCTGGAGATGAGTGAGGTCGACATAATAGAAGTGGAGGTTCATGCGATCGCTGAATTTACCGGCTTCTGTCCCGGCCAGTCGAATCCTGGTACCCTGCCGAAGAGATTCGTAAAGTGGCAAGGAGACACGGTAGTACTTTGCGAAATATCCGGACGCGACACGGCAGTTATCGAAGGGCTTTCGCCGTCGCGCTGTAGAGGTCGGTCACCACCTGCGGAGAACATGGATCGTAGTAATTCGTTCGAGAACATGTCGGATGACAAAGATGGCCATATGGCTCTCTTTTTGCGGCACCTTCGAGTCGGTTGGGAACGATACCCATAGTGATAGTGATAATCTCAAATCCCGATTCTCAGTAACAACATATCTCCTCTAGCCGCCAACATAGCAACGATTCCAGGTTGGGTAAAGACGTATTCGATGTCTCTTCCTTGTCTTCTCTCTGTTACCGCATGTTCCAGCATTTGTTCCATTGCGCGCAAGTCGAACAAGGTGAAAAGTGCCACTGGCTCGACGGACAATTTAGCGTCTAATGGATCCTGCTCATTGACTGCGACAACGCTCAGTATAGCCTCGAGTTGCTGGCTAGAGGCCGGCCAGTTCCAGAGCGACAGCGAAGGCGGCTGCTTCCTATATGTGCTTTTGCCAAGTCTCTTCTGGCGGACTTGGTATTGCTGGAAGTGGATTAGCCGGCGCCTTTGCAGAATGACGCCCCAATGGCGCGGCGAGGTCCGTGAAGCGCTTCAGAACGCTAGCCTTGTTGCCGTGTATGTAAGGCTCAAGTTATCCCGGCCAAGAAGGTGCAGACAGGCAACTGTAGTTTCCAAAGACGAACTGTGCATTGTGGTGTAACTGGCTGCGCCCGGGCGAGGAAGGGACAAGAAGGGGTCCCCAAGAAGGACGAAGGTCGTGATAAACAACTACCAGGGTTGCGGGGACGCTGACTTACTGCAGGGCATAGGCATCAATCAAGCAAAAACGTGTAGAATATGACTAGTGCCTGAAGAAGCGCACTGCACTGTCTCTTCCATGTTGTACCATTCCAGATACTGTCTTGGATGAGTGGTTGGCTTTACTAGTGTGGTCGCACTGTGGCTGCGCAACCAGGAGCGAGGTTCGGCGAGGCTGCGAGGCTCACCAGGCTGAAATGGTTAAAGACCCCTGAGCCCCTGAGCCCGCTGCCAGCCCCCGAGAGCCCCCGAGCTTGGCGCTGTCACCTGACGCTCGCTGCCAAGGTTTGTGATTCTACAAAGTAGGTGAAAGCCTCATTTCAGCTACCGAGAACCTTGCTCGCCTGTTTCTTGCCCAATTCCAATCAAAACAGCCTCACTGCCCAAAGCGAAGCCTGTTCCTCCCACATCTCTGGTCTCGAACTCGACGCATGCAAGGTTGTTCACACATTCCCTGTGCGTTTGGGCTAGGCAATTTAGGCCTCTTTCCAATGTACTCGGTAGGTACGTTTCCCGATCAAACCCTGAGTGTCGCGTGTTGGCGCTACGGTATGTGGCTCGTTTCAAACGTCCCATTGCTGCGATCATGGGTCTATCTTGCCAGGCCTTTTGCCTTTTCATTCTGTCCCGTCTTTTCTGGCGTACTTCCAAAACGCCTACCAGGCAAGGCCACCAGTTATATAGCGACGTGCAGCGAAAGTCCTCGCGCCGTTAAATCAAAATGCGCCCGCTTCGAACCGTGACGACTTGGGAACAGTCTCCACTTCTCTACAAGTACACTGGGGTTGCAAAATTGGGATCCGCTCTTTCATGCTCCTCTCTCGATCTTGTGATCACAGTCCCTTCCTCTCGCCAGCGCCATTCTTGCTCGTTAACTGCGCTTTGGCATTTGAGAGCTTCAATGGCCTCACCACCGTCTGCCGAAGCTCTCTCATCCGTCGGAAATCACTCGTCCTATAGCGACAAGCAGGTTGTGTCTAGCGTCGACCATGGGAAAGAGGTCGTCACACAGACGCAGCCCTATCCGGACGCCTATGGATATGCCAACCCGAACAATACCAACAACGACAGTTCAAATGGTGGCGGAGGAGGGGGAGGTCTTGAAGTTTTTCTGGAGAACGATCAAGAGAAGCCTGCCTGGTCTGAGCAAAAAACGAAACGAAAGATTTGTGGTCTCAGCACCAGGGCCTTCATAATCGTGGTCGCCGTTGTGACGGCTTTGATGGTCGCCGCCATCATCGGAGGAAGTGTGGGAGGCGTCCTTGCGAGCAAGAATAGCTCAGGAAGCGCAAGGGCCGATTTAGCGAACGTAGGTTTGGAATGCTTCATATTGTATTCGTCCACCTTGTTGACATTCTTGCCTCAAAGACTAGCAGCACATCTCTATCCACCACACAACCAACAGCAGTAGCAACTATCCCGGCGCCGACTGTTCCAACTACCCCCAATCCTGCCACTCCCACGACTCCCTCACCTCCATCTTTGTCCACAAGCACAGCGAGCACCTCCACCGCTCCGACTTCCACTGCAACGACCTCTGCCTCCGGTGAAGGAAGCTACAACTGCCCTGCAGACAACAACACAGACTACGTCTCTCCCTTGCTCAGCACTGCAACCTGGACCATTCTCTGCGACACGGATTGGCCAAGTGGGGTTGACGCCTTCAGCGGTGGAACTGTAACCGACCTCACTGCTGTTGTGGCGTACAGCATTGATGCTTGCATCGACCAATGCGCTGCATACAACGTCGCTGGCGGAGACTGCGAGGCGGTCGTCTACGGGGCTAATATTACCCTGGCGCTGAGCAGGGGTGGTATTCAGGGGAATTGCTTCTTAAAAAGCGACCGCGGAGCGAAGAACACTGCTGATAACAGTGGGCAGGTCGAGGCGGCATATCTGTCAGGGTCTAGCTGAGATGGCAAGAGGGATGAACATCAATTCGTATCAAGGGATGGTTGACAACGGGTTGTCCCATTTGCATGCTGTGTTGGAGGACCTTGGACTTCGTCACCACAACACCCAGTCAAAAGAGAGATTGCCGTTTCCAGGATGTCTCAAACGAACATCCAGACCGTCGACATTAGCAGCGGACTATCACCATGCCAAAAGTTCCCCAACCGATGCTAGCCAGTCCACGGCCGTGACTTGAGATCCTCGCAAATAATTTTGTTGGTCTTAGGAAGCCGAATTGCGATTCTTGCCTCCTATGAGGTGACCCTGTGGAGCACCACAAAGACCAACTATCTTGCTGTCCATCTCTCCAGCAGTGGTCGGCGCGCAAATGGGCAATGTGTATCTCGCCGCAAGTCTCAAATCCACAGAATTGGGTCGTGAAACCCCTGTCGAGAGGGGTCCTAGCCAGCATTGTTTTCGAAAGGCATGAGGAAAGGGGAGCACTGTTCAGTGCCCGGCGCGAGTGGGAGCCGCCGATGAAGCCCGTCTCATCTACCTAGCTGGACGGGCGCTGTGATGGGTGGCCGTGGGGATGTAGAACGTGGATGGCGCCGCTGAAGGAATGGAAGGGAGGGCCTATATATATGTGTTTGGCCCTGCCCAATGTCGTGGGCGACGGTCTGGGTTTGGGGTTTACTCATTAGGCATGCTCCTCGCTGCCGCCGAGGCGCTACAGTATCAAAGCAAGTCGTTAGAGTGACGCAGGGAAGAGGAACGAGGCAGGAGCATCACGTTCAATGAATGGGAATTGAACTGAATTGAGCTGGAGTGGAGTGGAAGTGATATCGAACCCCCAGGGAGTGATGGGCTCAACGCTACATACTCCGTGCAAATTCTCTCTTACACAGCTCAGACTGTTCAGCATTACGGTACGTGTCCAGGTGTAAGAACCTAGAAGGTAGTTGCAACATCGTCGCATCCATCCCTTCACTCGCCTTGACACATAATCCTGTTCCTCCGTCGTCTTCCCATCTTGCCAATGCCACGGGTAGAAAACCGGAACCGAAACATAGTCGACTCGGCACAGTGAGTGACTGAGTCAGGCAGCCGGGATGGCTTAAGTTGCAAGAGAGCGCGGCAGAATCAATCTCGGTCCCTTGCTTGCTTGCTTGTCCACTGCAGGTACTCCGTACTCCGTACACTTGATGTCCACCTGCCCAGGTCCAAGCAGTGTCCCATTAATTACCTAGCTTGCTGGGTAGTTGAAGCCGTCGAAGTTCATCCCGATACTAGCTCAAGGAACCCATGTGTGCTTGTACGGACAGTTGTGATTCCCAGCGCAGACCTGTTGTTGACTCCAATTTCTCCTTTTCGTTTCCTTTCTCGCTCTCACTGGTTTTTCGCTGGCTTCTCCCAGGTACAAGGGAAGAGGAAAAGAATTCAAACGCGTCCCGTCCATCGCGTTTCTCCTCCGACGGCTCAGACAGTAGACTTACCGTCCGTTGGTAGTCGCAATCGTATGCCCAATGCCTTCGTCTCCAGAAGTGGCATCTGCTCTTGTGCAGGAGATATTTGTAGCTCCTCTTGTGGTTGCGACTGCTCCTGGCGTTGCCCTTGCGTTGCTGCGGCGGTCTGCAACTGCTCTTGCTCTTGCGACTAGTCTAGTCCTGGGGTTGGGCCTGGCCCTGGCACTGCCACCGCATGCGCCTCCTGCGCCTGGCCCTGTTCTTGCGCATGCATCAGCACCAAGATCTGTGTCCGGTTGCTCTTGTCCCTGAGCCGGCATTGGCACCTGAGCCTGTTCTTGCACGTGCAACGGACGCTGCGCTCCATCCGGCGACTGTTGTTTCTCGTGGACCCTTGCATGACTCTGAACTTGAGCCCTCGGCGCACGAACACGAAGCTGAGTCGCCATAGGCAACATACCGGCTGTGATTACCGTATTCTCCTTTCTGTTCCGTTCTTTGAACGCCTCGTACTCTTCGACAGTGCCGGTCCACATATCCAAGATATGTTCGCCTTCTCTCCGATACCTCTCACCATCGCGCACGCTGGACCGCCTTGCGATAGACGTCGTCCATTCTCGGAGAATCCGTCGCTGTCTTAGCATCGCGGCAATCACATGCTGGCGGTGGAGCTCTGTTTGAAATTGTGGTGAAGCTTGTGTGGGAATGGGATCGAAATGTCGGGCCTGTGAAGTCAAGTATCTCAGCTGAAGGTCTAGGACGGTCCCCGTCACGTCCTGGAAGTCGAATTTGATGCCTGGTTGTTGTTGCATCCAATTTTTCAGTTGCTGAATAAAGGTCATCTTGATCAACCTTCTTGCTTCGTGTGTAACTTCTAGCCACGTCCACAAGTGCATTCCAGGCTGCCGACCAACGTAACGCAAATAGCAGCGGTACATTTGCCTCAAGTCCTTTTGAACGAGTCTATGGTGGTATTCGCAAGCACTGCGGAACAGGAGGTCATTCCGAACCAATTCCTCAAGCTCCTCTCTGCTATGCTCAAAGAGGGCGTCGCGTATGTTTGGAGAGGAAGAAAGTAGTGGCATGAACGATGTCCGCATCAACCCGTGCTGTTGACTCGACCCGTCGGATAATGCCTGTATTCGAGAGTCTCCGGCAGGGCAGGTATGTATCTCACCATTGAAAGCCACTCCAGTGATGTGGCCCAAGTTGGCGTCCATCCTCGCCGACCCCCTCCTTTCTTGCCGCAACATTTCCTGGTAGATCGGCACGGCCGAAGCTGGCAGTATGGGCACTGAGTAGACGTATTAGTGGCGTTCACGGTATATAAGATGTCGGATGGGAACGTACGGGTCAGTTTCACAGTCGGTCCATATTCATTGCGCATCGCGTCGCGTTCGATATTCGCCATGACAAACTGCGTCCAGTCAAACTGCGCCAACGCGCCCGGCCAATGTTCGACCTCATAGCTCGCTTAGAGCTTGCTCACTTCGAATTGTGACTCCTGCTTCCGATCTTTCGGCTGCAGTTCGCTGAAAAAACAACGGCGTCCTCCTAGGCGAGCTTCCACTGCCCTGATCAGCCTCTTCAAGCGCGTGCGTGGATATTTTCGCCTTGCGGTCTCTGCAGGCATGCCATCAGGAAGTTGAGGAAGCGGTGCTTTGATAACGAAGTCGGTGTAGGCGAAACTCTGAGGAGGATTGAGATGAAAGATATCCCTTGGTGAGGCTGACAATGGGGCGATCTGGGGAATCTGATGTTGATCTGGCTGGTGACCGGGCATCCTATCGATGGGATCTGCTGAATGTGATCTTTGTCAGAAACTGAAACTCACTGAAAGAAGCAACACGCAAATCTGGTGAGGCAGCACCTTCGACACTCTTCGCCTGAACCAACTTTCACTTGATTCAGTGGAGAACTCGGCTTGCTCGACTTCTCCTAAGCCCTGGACACGCAAAAACCTGGAGAGCCTTTCAACGAGGTTTGTGAGTCTGACAATGGATCAACTGACATGGGATGCCATCTTGTTGTAAATTCTAGACTGTATCTTTTTGCAGGATTGCGCCGCCTCAAGTGCGACTGATGCCAGTTTATTCCAGTGACTAGGCCTCAGTGAAGACCGTCGATTGAAGTGCGGCAGATCCATGCATATACCACCACATGGTCCGACGACGACGACGACGACGACGACGACGAAGAAGAAGAAGAAGAAGAAGAAGAAGAAGAAGAAGAAGAAGAAGAAGAGAGAATCGCGGGGATGGATGAGCCCGCGACCTCAAGTAGCAAAATGTCTCACATATTGGAGTTAAACCCTTCCCTGCTTACTAGTTGGGCTTCACGAGGGAGCGGCCGTGTAAATCGTTGGCGGAGTTTTGGATTTATGGACTCAGAAGATTGATCGAGCAACAACTCTTCCTACCATACATGCAGCCACAAGCCTGAGAACGGTCAGTCTATCTGTGTCTGTGAGACTGGTAGGAATTCTGGGTGTCTAGGATACATCCCTTTGCGGAACCTGCATGCAAAGTGAAGTAAGTACTTAACCTTGAGGAGCAGCGCCAAAAATGAACCTTTCCCAATTTTCTTTTAGCCGGCGAGCCCCCTCTTGCAAGTCCCATCCCTTCACCTCACAGACCTTGTGTATGATCTCCAGAAGAAGCCGGTCCATGGTTTCTCCAGCACAATGTAAGTCACTCTCGATAAGTATCCTGTCGTCTGGCACCGCTTTGATGACATTGGTGACCTTTGTTGTCGACGCATTTGAGAAATTGATTGCTGTCGAGAAAGAGAAGTAGACCTCCGCTGGGACAGTAGGCGCGAGAAATTGCCTCAGTGCATCCGGGGGCCCGGAATAGGAGTGCATGCATATCCGTGGCGGGTAAGGAGGACTTTGTTCTTGGTTATGGCCCTTTGGAACGTCCTCGCTCTGATGGGCATTTGGAGCGTCCATGGCTCTCTTTCTTTCCTTTTTCGATGGCTTTTCATAGCCTTTCCACATGGCTTGCATAAGTTCAAAGATTAAGCCATGGGCTTGGACGCTGTGCACAGAAAGAGGGCGCTGTAGCTTTGCCGCAAGCTCGAACTGAGCCCTCACAACCACCTTTTGGTGATCAATGCTCACGCGATAAGGCGAAAGCGGTCTCCCTTCACGCGATCCGGGGGTGTAGTCCTCGTCTGAACCACAAGTCTTGTTCTTTATATCACCGGTCATGGCACTTGGGCCCTGTGGCAGTCGAAATGAACGATCCAAGCCTACCTCCCCGACCAACGCATATGGGAACTCGGCCAGTCTCTCCTCCAAATCCTGGAGAAACTGACGAAGCGACCGAGGAGCAGGTAGAGCCTTCAAAAACTCATCATCATCCGGGGTCGGTGTCAAGACAGTTTTGTAATGATCGACCTGGTCGGGATGGATATCCTCCTTGACATCGTCGTATATTTGGTGCGAGAACCAAGGGTGCCATCCAAACGCAGGTACCACGTATCTTGAGGACTCATCTCTAGACTTCCAAGTCGAACCCTTAAGAGGGTATTGCCTTGCAGTGTCTCGGACCATATCCTGGTCTTGTGATCTCGTGGCCATGACAGTGAGGACCCTCGCTTTCATGTTGGCAATGTCCTTGATTGAGGCCATGATATCGGTTGGATGGCAATGAGCGTCAAAGACGCCAATCTGCCAGATGGCATCGTTCGCATTTTCAACTTCAGCCATCCAAAGGAACGCTACAATTGGTTGGGCAAGAAGGTCGAAGACAAGAAAGAGCTTGTCAAGGAGAGAGAAACGGCAGAGTTCATGGCATACAGCCTCCAAGTCTATGGTTGTCAGACGATAGTATTTGTGTCATTTGAAATAATCTCCATTGCCTCCGAGCCCCTTCATTCAGGGAAGCGGGAGGCATGATCTAGTTTCTTCATTAGGCTGACTAGTTCAAGAAAGTGCTATATTGTCGAAAGTGTTGTACAAGCACCAACAACCTTGTGCTCTGGAAAAGACATGCCATTATCGTATATACCACCATGAGAGACGAGACTAGCTCTGATTCTTTAGTTACACATTCAAACCGCAATCTCGTATCTCGCGAAAGCGTTAGCTGGGCAATGACCCAGAATCCATGTCCCAGTAGGATATAGAAGCATCTTGACTATCATAGCCAGAGTCGGTGCTGGTCGCACTATACCGGCGTGGAATCTTGTTTTCGCTATCATGCATACCCAACACGTCAGCCGAGGATATGTGATCGTGTGGTAGAACGCGAACCTCTTCTCTTCCAGCAATCGCTGGGTTATCAATAGCTGGCAGTCGCCGGAGAAGATGCTTCCTCGCCGCCTGCGTCAGGAGGTGCGTGTTTTTGATTTGGAGGGTTTTCGAATGGAAAAATGCCAATGCCCTCTCTTGAATATCCTCAGCATTGCCATCTTCACAATCGAGTATTCGCAAAGTTTCTGCGCAATGCAAGCAGTTCATGATATCAGTCCTAGCTGATGGCGGCGTCGACGAGTCGATAAAATAGGGAGGTCGACTTGCAGCTTCTGGCCGCGGAACAGGGGGCGACAAAACTTTCATGGTGTCGGATGCCCTCTTGAAATAGTCCGTGCGAGCAGTATTGCTGAGGACCGAGCTTGCGGCCAACGCCCGCGTTTCGGCCGCAGAACCAGGAGGCGCGATTTTAAGCGCAGCGGTCAAGTGCTCTTGGACACGATCGGATGCTTCGGGTGAGTGTAGAGACACCTCCAAAGCTTGCGTCAACGAAACCATTGACCGCCATGCTGCAACAGCATCAAGAGGTGATCTCACTGCATGATCCTCAACAACAACGTCCAACAGAGGATTGGGAGAACCTTCGTGCGTGGGTCGGTCGTACATCAGATTGTACGCCCTCTGACAGACCGTGTCCAGGAATATGTGATCACACGGCATGTCAAGCATGTTTGAAAGATACGGAGGGAGGGAATCCGAATGATGCAGGGGTAGATTGTCGCGCGAATCTTTGGCGTGGCCCCATTGCCTGTTGGCGAAGAATTTCCCGACGCGGTTAGCGATCCTGGATACTCCAGTTCCGAGTGAGCCCACGTTCCACAAGAGCACCCGGCAATGGAGTGCTTTCAGCATCAAACGCAAAGGTGTCCGAGGAAGAGTCCCGGCGCCAAAGATCGTCAGGAGCACCCGGCTTCGGCTGACTTCGGTATCACCGCCAGCCAGTTGTGCGTCAATGGCAATGTCCCAAGCCTTGATCCGGGCCACGTCGTCGTCAGTAGTGCGGCCGGTAAGCCAAGCATAGGCCCGGGCCCCAAAGACGTAGCCAAAGGTATACTTGAGCCATTCGCAAGTGATGGCGATCCACTCGGGAAAGAAGTGGTGATGAGGAAGGTGTAGTTCCTGCATGCTGGTGCTCCAGGCGCGACGACGGACTTGAATGGGCGAGGCCGGGGCTGGAACCTGTCTCGAATGCGTGCCCGAGTCCTCGACATCGGTCTTGGGTGGAGGTTTCGAATTGAACAGGTATGAGAAGATAAGGAAGGCGAGGAATGTCAGGGCAACGAATCCCTTGATCAATGGTATGATGCCGCCTGCCTGGCAGAATTGGCTGAAAGCGGCCAGGTATATTCGAGGTGACCGCAGAAATTTCCATCCATCAAGAAGCTCGAGGGGGATCCCAAATAGACCCTTTTCACGGGATTTTGAGCCCATATCAGACTCATTGAGGCCATCCATAACCATGAGGCCGGCGATGGATCCTAGCACGATCCTCGTAGGCCATTTGCCCCTGAACCTCGAACGTTCTGTCGGGGTGTCATAGATGTGGCCATAGTGTTCTTGGGGTTGATTTTGTCGTAGCCGTCTCCAGCTCTCGGGTTGTGGAATGAGTCCTTGTGGAGGGTTTGGGGTTGTGTTTGTCGATTCGGATGATGAGGGAGAGTGTATGTTTGAACCAGGTGGCGATTCTTCTATGAGCACGTTGCTTGTAAAAGCAGCGGTTCTTTGGGCATCGTGGCCGCCTTGAGCAATGACCTTATCCAGGGTCTCGAGCCGTTCTTTGAGAGACTTGTTCTCCTCCTCCAGCCGCTTGGTGCGAAACTCGAGATGCCGAATATACTCGACCGCTTTTGTCAGAATCGAGGCCTTGTTGAGCTTATTGCTGGGCGTGAGGCCATCCAAGTCGTCCTCGTCAGACTCTCCATTGGCGGATTCCCGTATCTTTGACTTCTGTGCGAAACGAAGGCTAGGCACGCTGTCCCTCAATTCAGCTATCTTTTCATTGAGATTGGCACGGTATCTCTTCTCAATGATGTTGTGGGGGCGTTTTTTGGCAGCAGGAGTGGGTGCGTCATGGCGACAGTCTGTGGTTGGTACGTCGGTGGGCGACAGTTTTCGCTTGAGCATGGGACGTATGCTGGGAGTTGGCTGTTCTCTCAGGGTATCTCCGCTCAGTCGCATCTCGAAACTAGATCGTGATTCTGGGGATGCCGAACTGTGTCGGGGAGTCAGGAGATCGTGAGTGGGAGGAGCGGTGAGGAGGTCCGTCCTGAGCTGAGAAGGGTGGGAATCCCCGTTCACGGTCGACGATGGAGATATTGGGAGGGTGAGTAGTTTTTGAGTCGTCGCAAGGAGATCGTCTTCATCGGGGGCTCGTGGGGAGGTATTTGCAGTCCCATTCCAATCCAACCATTTGTCGAACTCACGGCCGGCAGATTCAAGATCGAGTGGTGCGGTCATAGCTGGCTGCGGAGGAGTGATCATGGCGCGGGTTTGCAGCCAAACTGCAAGGGGGTTTCTCAAGAAGCGGATGCCACCATATGAAGGAGCTCGTTATATAAGTCTCATCCTATCGGTGATGCTGAGATGTTCAGTGTTTCGAGGAGGCGACATTGGGAAGAGAATGGTTGACGAGGTCCCTGGCTAGCCAGTTCAAGAAGGGGGAACAATCTGCACGGCTGCAGCTTCCGCCAGGCAAGCAATTGGTGAGTAGCAAGTAGAGGAGGAGCACGAGGAGCAGTTGGTTCGCTTGTCTGGCGGCTCCTCAGGCTCCTTAGGATGCGCCCAAGGCTTGCAGTGGCCATTGGTGGGAAATGCCAGAGCCTACTCGGCTGTTCAAACATCCGCCGTGCTGCGCCACGAAAATACGATTCTGTCAATGAACCCGGCGAGCCGGTCAAGAAGGGGTACATCGATCTCTGCATAGGAAGAGCCAAAAATGCTGCTGCATGCATGTACCTTCGTACGCTATCCCTCCCTGTTGGCGATTGCGCACCTGGACAGTGGCTGATGACCGAACATCTTACCGGCGTATCTGCGAAGCGAGGAAATCCCGACTCTTGACTTGGGGCGCCTATGTCGGACGCGTCTAAGCGAGGGCATCAAGGGGATTCCAGGTGTACTGGGCAGACTGTAGGTCCCGTTGATGTGCCCTCAACTCGTTGTGCTGTTGGCTTTGACTTGGCAGTAGAGACTCGGTTGCACGGACATCGTACTTCTTCAGAATCCAAGGGCTCTTCGGTCACTAGTATACATAGAACAACACAACTGAGCATGGAGTGCTTCCCTTGTTGTAGTGAGGCGCATCTCCGTGGCCATCTTCCATTATCTCTACGGTAAGCCCTTCTTTTGAGGCCCCGCCTATAGTTGAGATGATGAGCCCCTCTTTCCCATGGTGTGGCCGGTGCCATGCTACTTGAGATAACCCGCGTCTTCCGAGCGGTGTTCCGCGAGGAAGTGAGAAGATTTTTGCTGCTACTGTATGCATCTTTACTTTGAGCGAACGGGAATAAGGAAAGGTGTGTGAGGGGCTTGCCTTGGGTTTCTACGACATAGTATGTACACATGTACGGGGTATGTATTGGCAAGTTGTTCCACATTCCCTTGTATTACCTACCAAGGTACAATACCATAGGGGAAACAACCTCACCGACGATCAGTCAGAGAAGAAGACGATTGATCGTCCTGTCAGGTGGCTTGGGATTTGTCTCGAAATGTGACTACTCATGCCCGTCACGCAGTGGTGGCAGTAAGTAGAACCCAGATGAGTGGATAGGTTCATGGGCCATTCGCCTCTTGAAACCGCCCAAAAGAAAAACGTCGGTGCTCGGTTAGCAGTCTGCAACCGTGCTGCCCCTCGGTAAGCCTCAGTCAAGCCAGATTCAAAAATAAGTGGCTGAGGCTGTCACGGAATGAGTACCCCAAGAGTCCTCAATAACGTCAAAGCGACCGCTATATCGAATATAATTGACAGAATAGGACGAATGACAAAGGGCCACTGTTTCCAAGGTAAACGGAATGGTCATTAGCAGTAAAGCCCACCTCCCTTCTGACAGCAAAGGACCTTGAGGGAGCCACTTACCTGGTATTCTTCAATTCAGCTTGCTACCGAGTACCCAGTACCTCGCAGGTCTGAGCGGGTCCAACAAAGAGTTCTTTTCATCCCACCCTTTCTAGCCGGAAAATGACAGCGGCAGGACTGCATCATCTTTGGCCCATTGGTTTTTCAAGTAGGGGCCTCATGCGGGAAATATTCTGTGTTCGCTTCTCCCTCCCCCGCAAAAGCCCTTCATGACTATAACTATTTTTCTGCGCTTACCTTGATCGATACAAAGAATGTTGTAGCTGCCCTGTGCCCCGCACCTGTGAAAGGGGCTCCCAGAGGTTGCACGAAGCATTCGGCAAACAGTCTGGACAATGGCACCATTTGCCCTGCATCATGCTTGCGCAGCCGCCGGGGCAGACTTGGCAACCTATTGTGGTAGGAGAGGAGAAACTCGGGTTTCGGCATTCTTTGACCAGCGGGGACGACGGCACAGGTGGGTGGTTGATGAGTGTCTTGGTGTTGATGTCAGTACTTTCCACCCCGTGTCACTTGGAGGTCACTGCTTGCGGGCACTCTGCGTGAGAGGCCTTTCGTCTCGTCTCAACGGATCCAGTTGCTGGCACTACTCGGTGCCTACTGTAGGTACCCAGAAATGGGATCTGGGGGATCCATGGTTCGGCAATTTTAAAAGGGGAGAAAGTGGACAGTTGCAGAGTTTGGTCAAAAGTTGGGCAGGCCAAGCAGGCTTGCCACGTTGCTCAACAGCGTAGTGCGGACATGGCTTGTAATAGTGCTCGCAGCGGTGACGGTTCGAGAATTCATTAATTGGCATTTGTCAGACGGGCAGTAATGGGTCGGACTGTACGGAAAGACGCCGCCGCAAGACGGCAAGGGACCCACGGAAGGTTGAGAATTGATTTGTTGTCAGACGAGGATTTTCTCTGACTGCTGCCCCTTTCAGCCTCGACAGGCCATCACAAGAATTCCGCTGTAACTGCGCTTCCAATCATTTCTCATCCCCATCTCCATCCCCATCCTTTACATCAACAAGACTCTGCTCTTGTCCAGAATCTACTGAGACACCGCCTTCATCATCACCTTCAGTCGTCTTGGTGGCCCAGGCTGTCTGTCTCGGCGCCCAAGGCCTTTTCGGAGGCCCCCATTGTTTGATCTCCGACCTGGCCCCCCCCTGCTCGTCGTTGCCGTCTGCCCCATGGCCCGCCGTCTTGTTGGTCAGCCCGAACGGGTGGCGTGGTGCTGGCCTTCTCAATTTCTACGCTTACCGTCATCGGGCCTGTCAGGGAATCCCTTTCGCTGTATCCACCGATTCGCAATCAGCCAATGCCTATCGAAGTTTCTTTCCATGTTCTCTCAGGCGTCTGTCTACATGGCCCTGCATTGATCATTGGAAACCCGTCTCTCCCTTGGATAACCTTTTTCAAATCACAAGGCACCGATGAGGCCTCCTGATATACTAGCATTTTCATAAGCACGAAGATCTTTTCGGTCTCGGTTATATGATGACGCCTTAAGAGTTTGGGGAAAAGAGGTTGGTGACCGAGTTTCCTATACTCGGTACGGTGGTCTGTGTTTCCTGGCACATATTCTACCCGCACTGGTCGAGGCTGGCAACCTTTTATCAACATCAAAAACCCTCCGGCCCCGAGATCAGCGTGCGCTTGACGGCTGGCAATCCCGGAACGTCTTGTTGATCATTTCTCACACGATTTTCCAGTCAGTGCAGATCAAACAGCCCCTCAACACAAGCCCCAGTACGATAGCACAGGTCCCTGCCGCATCCCTGCCCCCAAGCCAAACCCGTGACTCTGAGTCTGACTCTCATTTGCACTACGACAAGACGCATACACGACCAACAACTCTGCGACGGACCCGTCTTTCGCAGACCAGACTCGGTGCCTGCTCCTCCACCTACCATACAATACGTGTGCGACACGCCAACCTTTGACATTTCCACGCCAAATATCTATCCGCTTTTCATCTCGGCCGGTACGATCTCTGCTCTGTTACTCCTTCATACTTCGAGTACCGACGCAAACCAACGCAGCGTCACTCCTATCTATCTCTTACTCGCTGCACCAAGCAACGCGGGAGTCCACCTGGTGAATTGACCAGTTGGTGGCAACCATATTTCCAACATCCCTCGCGGGCCTTGTCTCTACATTATCGGCCCGTCCTACCCGAATTTGGCGACGAGCGCCAGCCCCCTCTGACGGGGCTGAAGCCTCTTCATACGAGTCGACTGCACCGGTACTACAGCTGCCGCATGCACACAACAGTTGGCAGTCACTAGAAACGTCGCAGCGATCCCCAGAAACACGGCCTGCGACGTTTCGCTCCTCCCATCTGTCTTCCATCATTTGATTCAATGGGGTACACGATGAATCACGACACGTACTCTGGGCGTTACACGCCAACCTCGCCGTTGTCTCCAAGACTCCATGCCAGCCAGCAGCCACTCTCGCCTCAGCCGACACGGGGTCGACCCGCACCACATGCCCGGCAACCTTCCAGGAATCTGCACATGACGCTTCCTCGGTTTCATCCTGCCAATTTCGGCCACCTCGACTCACCAGCCACACCATCTTCCTCCGTGCAGAGCCCAGCCATTGGATTGAATCGGGTAACGCAACCCGTCGTGATGGAGTCACCAAGACTGATGCGTGAAAAGCAACGCGAGTTCATCGAAAGGACTACGTTGTCGGCCAAGATCGCGGCCTCCTCGATGGGCATCAAGCCTGGTGCACCACGATTGGATCCGTTGGGCAGCCCCAAAGGACCCGTCACGCCTCTGGCTCTCGAGGAAGGCGATGACTACTTCCAAGTTGCCGGAGCAGGCAAAGTTTCGCCAGCAGGAAGCCCAGGTCCGGCAAGAAGTCCGCGGAGTGACGGCTCGCCAGATAAGGAGGAATCGAAGAAGAACAAGAAGGTCAGACAAGCTGATGTCTATCAATGACGGCGGCAATGTCTTTCGGGTTGAGCGGGAATGTGCATTTGCAGGCTGCGAGCCTGTCCATTTGTCAGCGACTTTCCTTATTTTCCCTTGTTTTTGGCATATTGAAGCCCGACGAGGTTGGGCCGCGTCAAGGCACCACCCAAGCTACAGATTGCATCAAGCATTGCCTCAGTTGCTGGCGTTGGTGTTGGAAGTCTACGGAACCGAGCCGCCGAAGTTGCCTGGAGCAATTTTGGGTTTTCCATTCGGGAGTGAATGGGATATTCTCTGCATAGCGATTGTGAAGGTCGCTTCTGAGCATTGTCACGATGGGTATGAAAAATGTGGTCTAGCTGGCACGTCCATAGCATAGATAGACCAGAACGAGCAAGGAGAGTGTTTGAAGACTGCCCTGTGCCAGTCGCTGCGTCTGACTGTGCCGAGTATTCTGTCCTCTAATAGAACCCCCCGTACGGTCCGGACAGTCATACCCGTCGAGCTCGTATTTGCTGTGGCTGGGAAATGTACGGGAGGGGAGAGAACCAAAAGTGGCGGTGCATCGCTTTGATCCTTCCACCGTGTTTCACCAATGCCCCCAGAATTCCGATTCCACGACTCGAAGCGCTGAAGACGAAGGACCACCAGACTACAATTCACTCCTTTAAATTCGACCTTTCACTCTTTCCTACATTTCCTCCCTACAGACTTGTCTCTGCTCGCGACAAATCGTCAAGGCATCACCGGCTCCCCTCCCTTTCAGGCCACCTTCTCCCGGCCATGCTTCATCAGGCCACGCAACAGTCCTCGAGGTGACACCGTCGTTTTTGTTGTTGAAATCTGGTCTGTCGCGAGGACATGGCATACTTCGACATGCGACAGCCACGCAGTAGCAGCCGGACCACTGCCCTCGGCATCCTCCTAGGGGTTGTCTTTATCTACTTCCTCTACAGCATCCACCACACCTCGATCGACCAGTCCGAACTGCGTTTACGAGTCCAGACGTCCGCAGCCGACAACCCTCTCTCTCCTCCCACCTCGGCCTTTCGCAAGCAATCCAATTCCCAAAATGCTCGTGGTGTCCGCCGTCCGCCTCCCGTCGTGCACTATCAGCTCAATAACTTGACCGCCTCGGCATATCCGGCCCAGAAGCACGAGAAAGTTCTTATTCTAACCCCTCTGGCCCGCTTCTACCCTGAATACTGGGCCAATCTCATGGCCCTGACCTACCCCCACGAGCACATCAGCCTAGGTTTCATCACTCCCAAGACGAAGGAAGGCAATGCGGCAACGGCCGCTCTACAAGAAGCAATAAGGGAGACACAATCAGGCCCGGAGGAGCTACGGTTTCAATCAGTGACTATTTTGCGGCAAGATTTTGAACCGCCACTGACTTCCCAGGATGAAAAGGAGCGCCACAAGATGGAAAATCAAAAGGTCCGGCGAGCATCCATGGCTCGGGCACGGAATAGCCTGCTCTTTACCACCATCGGCCCCCACACATCTTGGGTGTTATGGTTGGATGGCGACGTGGTCGAGAGTCCCCCCACGTTGATCCAGGACTTGGCCAGTCACGACAAAGCTGTCGTCGCTCCCAGTTGCATGCAGAGATTTGTCAATGACGAAGGAGAAGAGGATATCCGACCCTACGACTTCAACACCTGGCGCGATAGCGACGTGGCACAGGAGCTCGCCAGCAAGATGGGCCCTGATGACCTCCTGCTGGAGGGATATGCCGAGATGGCCACTTACCGAACACTCATGACCAAGCTGGCCAAGATGGATAAAGATCGCGACGAACGGCGTCTGATGCCCTTGGATGGTGTGGGCGGGACAGCACTATTGGTGAAGGCCGAGGTGCATCGAGATGGGGCCATGTTCCCTGCCTTTCCTTTCTATCATCTTATCGAGACGGAGGGCTTCGCGAAGATGGCGAAGCGGCTTGGATTCGAGATCTGGGGTCTCCCCGATTACTTTGTAAGTCCCTGGGGACTTCTGTTCTTGTGTAATGATCTGCTGACCTAGGCATCGACAGGTGTACCATTATAATGAATAGATACGCCCGTGATGAATCCCCAGAATACCAGAGTTTTGACTTTCCAAAAGGCCAAAAGATTCCAATGCCTTGCGAATTTCCTCTTTGCAATCCGATGTCAGCTCGAATTACAGCAAAGCTGCAACGTCTTATCATAGGCCATCTGCCGGAACTAGTGAGGCTGAAAGTCCGGGGCTCGTTTGGCCATTTCACATGACGCCTCTACGCTACAGGCCCATGCAGGTTCGACTCTCTGACAACTTTGAATGTACAAGATATATCGCGATGCATCTCTCTCGCTCCATTTAATACCATGATGACCCACGTGCCATATGTTGTTTAGGAGCAGACAAAATATTCACTTCCCCCCCGTCGGGACAGAACAAAACCTATTGCGAGCTTGCGCACGAGGAGGAGATTGAAGCCGGTCGTCGGTCTCTAGCAATTAACCCTTTGGGCGGAGCCACGGAATATTCCACGTATCTTTAGCAAAAGTGCTATATGTAGGAAGTCCAGAGACGGCGCGCCTGCAAGGAGGAAGGAAGGAAGGAAGGATCTCTGACAATCTGGAGCCAGCAAAGGTCACAATCTGTGAGAGAGAATAGCGAGTACAGCGAGAATAGAAGGGATTTCCGGACTTGGCACCTCCGCGATTATTACATGGGCACTCTCGCTTGGTCTATGCTATGCATGTACGGAATATATCGTGCGTTCGGATCCAGGACGTTTAAAATAAAAAAAAAAAAGGGGGGGGGGGGGGGGTGCGTGTCCGTCGAAGGTGGGAATTCCACCAAGGAGGCACTAGAGGCAGGTACGTAGGCAGGCAGACGGACAGGCAAATGCATCAATGGATCGAAACCAGTTAAAAGAAAAGGAAGGGGAAGGAATAGTGTTGATTTCCCATGAGATGAATGACATGGTACTTGGTTTTGGTTTTGGTTTTGCTCATTAGGAATTTTTTTTCCCCAGCAACTTGGGTATTATGCTGGATTATCGCCAGCGGATCTCCATGAGGTATCTATGTACCTAAATGAGGTCCCGGCCCTAGAGGACTCGGGGTTCATTGAGCTAGTCAATCAATCGGCTTCAGCATTCATTTGGCCCATCCGCCCAACTTGTCCCTCTTGATCTTCTTCGCCCGTCTGAGACTATATTTCGCGCGCTTTGCGAGTTTCTTGTCGCCGCCTTCGCCACCACCGCCACCACCACCACCACCACCACTGCTCGTCCCGTTCTGGGGCATGGCGGTGGTGACGTTGTAGATGGCGTCGGCGGGAGTGAGGTCGAACTGGATAGTGGCGTTGCCCTCACGGTAAGTACTCACCAAGGGGCCCTTGGTTTTGTACGCGGGCGTGAGCGGTGTCTTGCCCGTGGCGATGTCTCTGCTCGCGAGGACGCGATCCAGCATCTCGAGCGACACCAAAGGCTGGTAGAACGGCACCTCATGCCCGGACTGGAAGATGCGCACGAACGCGAATTGTCCCGCCTGGCGCACCTGGCCGTGCACGATCCCGTCGGACGTCGAGATGTTGACGAAGCCCGCGCTGCTGTACCCCGCTGCTGCGGTGCTGGCGACGTGCTCGGCCACCACCTGCCCACCCAGCCAATTGCAGTTGTAGTCGGCGTCGCCAAAGTACATGGTCACCGACACGTTCTGGGCTAGTAGACTTTGGAGGGCCGCGACGGTGCCGATCTCGCGGTCGTCGTCGCCCGTAGCCCCAAAGGCATTGCCCACGGCGGCATTGCTCTCCGTGTAGTTGACGTACGCGCCGATGGCGGCCTGCACACGCGCCGTATTCAGGTAGTCGATATAAGTCGTCGGCGGGAACGGGTCCGGCATCAAGTACCGCACGTCGTACTCGTCGCGGTTCAGGTAGATGTCGTACATGTTTTCCACCTGCTGGTAGCAGAAGTTGTCGGCCGCTGTGCAGATTTCGTCGATTTTGCGCGTGTTGCAGTCCACCGTCTGGTCGTAGCAGTTTCCACGTCCGTACAGGCTGTTGTATATTTGATCTAGCGGGCAATCGTCGTCAGTTCAGTCTTCAGACGCTCGGAGAGGTGCCCGGGAATATGAGGCCACAGGGTTGTTTGGGAAGGAGGAGAGAGAGGGGGGGAGAGGGGGATTAAACAGAAAGGTGTGAAGAATGTGGAAGACCCAGGGGCAAACACACTTTTGATGCTTTGGTTATATGGATCGTAGTTGTAGGTATTTCCCGGAAACACGGTGAAGTTGTAGTAGGCTTGATATTGGATCAACGGATCGTACCAGCCGTTGCCGATCAGGACGTGCTCGAGGCGGATGTTGTGTGCTCCGGTGATGTTCTTCGCATTTTGCTCTTCAAAGTACTCCGACATGAGAGGCGCATAGTGTCCGCCTAGTGCACTGGTCAGCCTTTTCCTTTCTTCTGATCTTCAAGGGTGCGGTGGTAGACGAGCAGAATCGTAGCACCGTCTCCTCCACCAAAAGCCAAAACCACGTACCATATGACTCAGTCGCAAAGTTGATCCCTTCTCTCGCATATTGCGGAAATACGCCCATGAATCCCTGCAGCGTCTTCCACATGTTCGGTGCCGTCGCGGGCGTGTTGTTCGCAGTCAACGACTCGTTCCAGTACGAGTATGTCCCGCAGGACCAGTCACTGGCGTATTCTGGACAGGTGTTGCCGGGCAGTTCAACCAGATATCCGGAATTCGGGTCCTCGTAGCCGGGCACGGGGGATGAGTAACTGAGTCCAACTTGCGTGGGCTGGTCGATGAAGATCATGTTGGAGACGTTGGACCACGAGTATGGGTTGTTCACCGCGTCGCCGTCTAGATTGATTCGGCATGGTCCCAGCTCTTGAAACAGGCCGATCATAGAAGACGAGCCCGGCCCGCCATTGATCCAGATGGTGAGCGGCGCCGTCGTGGGATCCATGTTCCGAGCCTCGAAGAACCACCAGAAGATGTGTTGACCAGGCGACACGTCGGCGTATCCAGCATAGCTCTT